TATACTGAGCTTAGGGTAACGGGAGGACGCTAGTTTGTGTCCTCCCGTTACCCTAAGGAGAACTATGGAGAAAAACACTGACCCCATAGTTCTCCTTTAACCGTGATGTGACTGCAATACACCTTAAGACTGAATTCATCATCTTCTTTAGTAGGACTTGTTTGTTGCCTGCCTTCCTATCTCCTTCTCAAAATGTATTTGTAAATATTGATTCATGTATGTCAGAGCAAAATACAACCTGAGATGACGTGCGGGGTACAGGATGCAGAAATGGAAAGACTTTACAGTGAAATTAACAAATATTACAGACCAAAAAGAAAAGGGAAAAACAAAAAAAATCATAATCCATGTAATAAAGGTTTTTTTTTGACCAGTTTTTGTTGTGCACTACCAGTGGGCCCACAATTAAAGGAGAACTATGAGATGAGTGATTTCCACTCACCTCATAGTTCTAGCCGACCTGTGACAATGAGACTGTCACAGGTCGGCTCAGTAGATCGGGAGGTGAGCGAACACATACCAGGTTCGCTCACCTCTCGATCCTGTCACGGACAGGGGGAGGGTTGGATTCCCCGCTCCGATCTGCCAGCGCTGACTGGCGGAACGGGAGGGGGCGGGTACAGCTGGCTCTGCCTCTAGATAGGCAGAGCCAGCTGTCACTCACGCAGCTGTGCGGATGCAGTCATCTACGTCGGGATCCGCTGCGGCGTCTCAGTATACCGCGAGCTGTAGCTTGCGGTATACTGAGCTTAGGGTAACGGGAGGATGCTAGTTTGTGTCCTCCCGTTACCCTAAGGAGAACTATGGGGAAAAACACTGACCCCATAGTTCTCTAAGGGGCAGCTCTGGGTTCTGCCATACTGCTTTATCATTTTATGTTGTCTCTTTGGTCTGTAATATTTTTGTTAATTTCACTACACTTTCCATTTCTGCATCCTGTACCCCACATGTCATCTCAGGTTGTATTTTGCTTTCATATATTGCAACAGTGATGTACCATACACCACAGTATACTTATTTACTGTCCACAATACATTACATGTTTGCCAATATTTACTGTTACCATGAGCACCAACACTTGTTCCAAATTGGTTTATGATGTTGCTTGTGTTGCCTTTGTATTAAATAACAGCCTGTTATGACATCCAGATACCACCTTAATGTCTCCTCTGCTTTATCCTATTACACTTTTAATGCTGCTGGCTTTATTATGCAGCATTCCTTCTTTGTAGCCTTAATATTATGACCGCTGTGGTTGCTAAGGAACGTTTAGGGGAACTTTCCCCACCGCTAGAACCGGAGACCACGGTCCTCTGTCCCCTTCCGTGCACGCACCAGGTGACAGAGGCCGTGACTTGAGTGCACACTTCCGCTGCTGCTGCTTAACAGGAAAGGCCCTGCGTTCCACACGGTGGTCTCGCTGGTGAATGGAGGCAGAGCCAGCTGGTGGCCCAGCGTCTTGTCAGAAGCCAGACACAGCGCACGCTGGTTACCATTTAAACTGGCGTATGCTGTGATTTGTCAGACGAGAGGATGAGTTCATTTTCAAGCCCTGTGTTTATGATTCATGGTTTTAAAATGTGAATTGTAAAAACTCTAAGCCAATATAATTAAAATAACACACCAAAGAAAAAATGTATTTGCTTTATTTTTAAAATTTCAGTTTAACTTTTTTTTATTTTATTGCTGGGAGCAGTAGCCAGCCTGCTATTGCATGTGTCAAAATTGCAATAGCTAATAGCAGGCTGGCTTTTGCACCCGCATGCTATCAGCCTCTAGACGCATTGGTTGGAATGCCGTCACAGTGGTCTCTCTCCTCCCTGCTGGTGCCGGCTGCAGTGGTCTGTGTTCCTGTTGCTGCTATCGGCATGGATTGAAAGGGACACAGACCGGTGCAGACGGCACCAGCAGGGAGGAGAACAGAGGAGCAGAGCAGCGGCAACTATATCCATCATGAGAAATCTGCCAACTATTCTCATTGATTATAATTGAATAGTTGCAGCTTTAGAATGGGAGAGGTGAGAAAGAGCTTGCAAAACACAGGCAAAGCTTTTTACATGAGGATATGAAGAGGAAAGCTAACAAAAAAAGTAAGTTTGTGGGTTTACACAGCAACTGCATATGCCTGTTTCATGTACACTCATTGTGCATTGTTGGCATGCTTTTTAAAAATACAACTGCAAAGGTGGAAATGGGCTTCAAGTTACTTTGGTGAACTAGGCTCATGCCATCTGCAGTTTGGAAACGGTGTTCTCTCCTTCTAAACGGATGGCTTCAAGTTTGATTTCCATATCTGTACATGTCTGTTTCTTGTGATGTCTTTTTAGCCTGGTATTAACCAAAGACGGTTGGTATATGCAGAGGTTTGCTAATTCCATTATTTCTATTTTTTGTCTTCAACAGCAGTTCTGTGGTGTTCTTGGTCACACATTTATGGAGTTTCTGAAGGGCAGTGGAGACTACTGCCAGGCACAGCATGACCTCTATGCAGACAAGTGAACTGTAGAAGAAATTCATTACTACTCCACCAAGAAACCCCCCTAAGAGCGGTCAACCTGTTAACGGAGTGTTGGAATAAATTTGGCAGCGCACTTTATATAAGGGGCTGATATCTGAATGGGGTAAACCTCGGTGCACTGCATTTCTTTTGCCTCAGTATTACTGGATTGAAGATTTGCTTATTGTGAGGAGGCTCATTTCACATCCATTGCTTCCATCCACGCAAGCACTGAGAAATTTATGTGGAGTAGAGTGAAGTTTACTTCAGTTTAACATAATTTCTTTTCAGATTAACTTTTTGTTTTTGATTCACTTTTGAATATCGTTGCACGGTTTTTTCCTTTAATAAAAATGGCCCGAATGAACCGCCCTGCTCCAGTGGAGATAACCTACAAGAACATGAGATTTCTTATTACTCACAACCCCACCAATGTAACCCTAAATAAATTCATAGAGGTAAGTTAATATATTTTATTGAGTTTCTAGTTTGGAGCACTTTGTCTTGGTCTGAGCTCTGAACTTTTGGAGGTCTTGTTGGTGCCTATGTTGATGGGTTTTGGGTGTTTGTCAATGGCATCAGTTTCAGCTATTTCAGACGCTTCTGAGATAGTTTGAAATTCCATGTGTACTTGACCTGCTTAAAGTGTGTTTTGGATTCCGGTTGTCTTGTATATGGATGCAGAGCCCTTTTTTTTTGAAGCAATCCAAAGCCTGTCTATACAGACCTTAGAGTCCAGACACTGTTGCATTGCAGTAACATGCATGTCAACATGCGTTACTGCAGCACATGCTTTGTCCTGACTGACATCATCCATTTTCGGTAACAGTGTTTGGCAGATCTGTGTTCTTAATATCACTTGTATTACCAAGTTTAAACTTGCTTTTAAGACTAAAAAACACTGTCGGGTAAAACCCATCAACATAAGCAGCAACAACTGTTTGGAGTGGAAAGCTGGAGGATTAAGACCAAATAGGAGGTGCACATGTTCCAAATGTATGTTATTGTTTTGCAGAATGAGTAACACTCTGTTGGAAGAGCTAAGCATGTCTAGTCAGTTTTTAGTTCCCAAATACACAAACCAGCTTGTTACCAACAATGATCTATTATTAAATTCCTAATTGTACATACCAGTTGTTTTTTTTTGGGGGGGGCGGGGATATTGGCATTGGAGACCTGATCCAGACCTCATGCGTCTGCATGGCTGGTCCAGGTGCCCAATACCTGCATGGATGTGAAGATTTGAGTTGGTGTGCCCTCCTCCGTTTGGAGGTGCAGGCAGCTGCACGCAATTACTTGCAGCATCTGTCCCTCCCTGGAGCAGGTCTCTGCATTGGGTTGCAGGCCCATGTGAATGAGCCCTAATGGTGATCTACTGCTGGCTGCAGTCATCCAGAATTCAAGAGCACGTCACCCCAGCCTGTCTTTTAGTGGCCATTAAGGGCCCTTGTTTTATTCACCACTTGGTGAAGATTGGTTATGGTTATGGGTAACAAAAACAACAAAATAAACAAGGCTTGTGGGGCTTGGGCAGCTTGTGGTGTCTCCTCTTGGGAATTTTTACTTAAAAGTTTAAAGTACAAGTACACTTTGAACTTTAAATTTGGCCATTCACTATACGTATTTCGACCAGTTCTTGATTGTGGCTGAAATTCGCACAGTGGGTGCTGCTGTTGGCACTCTTTAGTCCGGCATCCCTCGGTCAGCGGATTGAAGAAGATTGTCATAGAAATCTTCAGACAGAGCTAGCAGCCAATGAGCTGCCGCTCTGTTGGGGTACTTAGACAGCAGCCGGTGCCCGCTGTCGCAATCCAGTGTAGACAGCGGGAGATTCCTTCATCAATGCTCGTAAGCGTTGGAGGAATCTAATATTTCCTTTGTTCAGCCCGCAGGTGGAACAAAGAAAATAGTGTATGTCCAGCTTTTGGGATACATTTTTTTTTTTTTCTCATTTTACTGCTGCTCCTTGGCTTTTTTATGATTTTGGAGGTGGGTTATGTAGGTAGTTTTAGTGTCACTTTCCCAAGAGATATGTAGCTGCCATTGCTGACCACCTGAAAATGCTAGTTGCATAGCTGGCTTATGTTGACTTGGTGGCTTCAGTATTTTGGTATAACACACTTGGAACAAATTTGCAGAAGATTGGTGGAAAGCTAAAATATGTACACATAATATATAACTTACAGGTTTAGTGTTTAACGCATGGACATTTTGCATGTAAAAACTAATTAAATTGACTTCACTTTTTTCAGGAACTTAAAAAGTATGGCGTTACTACAGTGGTGAGAGTTTGTGAAGCTACTTATGACACGGCTCTAGTGGAAAAAGAAGGTATTCAAGTTTTGGTGAGTATGGGACTAGAATATTTGGAGGCATGTTGGAATTGTGTTTTCTCTGATTCTCATCTCTACTCCAGTGTTATGGTCCTGTGGAACAAGGGGGATTTATCAAAACTGGAGCAGCTGCCCATAGTAACCAAATTGGCTTATGTCCAATTTGTTCAGTTAAGCTCCGAAAATTAAAAATAAAAGCTGATTGGTTGCCAATCACAGCTGCTCCAGATTCTGTCTGCTAGTTATTTACAGGGTGCGAAGACCTGTAGTACCACCTATTGGATAGAGAACTGCCCGTGGGCTCTTAAATATTCTGCCACTGCCTGCCCGTTTTTTTATTCAAGAAAATTTCCTTTTGGCTTAAAATTGTAACCTTGAATTAAACTTTAAATATAAAATGAACCTTGTGTTCTAAAACTTCAATTGACAACTGCTTCATCTGTATGACCTAGTAAATTTTAAGAAATTTGCCTATTTTCTGGAATTAGGGACTTGGGTCACTGCTGGTTTTCAGGGATCTCTATGCTGATTAAGTAAAACAGCTAAGGGGGTCTTGGTCCACTGACCAAGCAATATGCAGCTATGGGCTGCAGTGATGTCTAAAGTCTGAGATTTCTGGGTCTGAGTAGAATTGGTTAGACTGTTTGGTCTTAGACTGTCCAGATATTCTCACTTGTTTTGGTGCAGTCAGCACAAATAGGTGCATGGTAGGAAAATGTTAAATCTGCGCTTATGGGTTCAATATAGAAAACTAATGGATATTATTGCAGCTGCTGCACTATGAACACTAAGGTCAAGGATGTAAAAAATAATAAATGTGCAACGCTACGGAACTACAGCTGGTTATTAAGTCTAATAAAAGGCACTAACCAGTGAACATAAATGAATTTAACCTCTAATATATAAATGGATATTATTTACAAATGGGTGCATACTTGGAATTGTATGGGTTTTTGTTTGGGGGTCCCCCCCCCCCCCCCCTTTCTAAGGCAAATTGTTATTTTCCTGGTCTGCTCAAAGTGCCTTATGAATTTTGTATAAAGCTCTGGCTTTGCTAATTTATTTTCTCAGTATAATTTATAAATCCTTTGGATGATTGCCTGTGGTCTAGTCAACATATCGTAGACTGTTCTAGGATTTCAGTTTGGTTTTGTCTCTCTCCAAAGGACTGGCCTTTTGATGATGGAGCCCCACCATCCAATCAGATTGTAGATGATTGGCTCAACCTTCTTAAAACTAAATTCCGTGAAGAACCTGGTTGCTGTATTGCTGTACATTGCGTCGCTGGACTTGGAAGGTAAGCTGGGTGAGGAATCCTGGTATGTGTTGTAATGAAAATGGCCTTCACCATATAAAGCACATGTGGCAAACTCGAGGCCCCGGGGCCGAATCCAGCCCACCAGGCCATTTCCTAGACTTCTACTTTCAGATCTAGGTATTAAGTTATTACTAAAACCAGTGATAATTGAATGCAGAGGCAATCATGATAAAGATTAGATACATTTATAAAGTCTTACAGGCCCTTTTGAGGGCAACCATAATGTTTGTGTCCCTCGATTAATTTGAGTTTGACACCCCTGATATAGAGTTTCAATGACAAACTTGCCTGCCATAAGATGGTATAAATGCTTGCTGTATACTAGAAGCAATGGAAAAATCTTAGCCCTTGGTAGATTAACCTGTGGCATTAATCATCATTAAAACAATGTGTGGATTTATAGATTGATATTGTGTAGCATTTAATCGCACATTAACCTTAGCAGGTTATTGCAGAGTGACATTTGCAGGCACAATTTCAGAATATTGAGCAATACATCTGAGGCGTCAATATACCGTTCCATTAATCTGCAACTGAATGTATTTTGTGAATGAGCCTCTTGTGACGGCACCCATGCTAATTTCTCTGTTCATTCTTGGAGTGTAAATTATCAAAGAACATTAGCTCAGTTTACTTTAAATTGCTGATGACCCACGTTGTAGCTTTAAAGATTTGCTGGCAAATGTACTTGTGTATATTGTTGCAAGTCTCTTTTGCTAAAACACCTAAGCAATGATTATGCTCTGAGCTACATAGATCTTCAGTCAGTTATTTCAGAGGTGCACATGGTTTGCTGGCTCACTTTTTGTAGTGTACAGCCCAAAGAAGGGGGTTTATATTTGCCTGTGTTCTATCAAGGATTGTGACTGGGTTGGGATGTGTGACTGGTCACACATTTTAACGTAATCACACCCACTTTTTTGGCGGTGGAATATGTGACCAGCAAAAGGTGAAGCATTCTATCACTTTCTCAGCTGTTCCAGGGCAGATCGGCATCGCAGATCGTATGTGCAGGAGAACTGATCTGCCCTCGAACAGCTGATCGGTCCTGAAATGTCACTTCTATCCAACTCTGGCATGTGAGATCGCACTCAGTCACATTTCAGGGCAGATCGGTTCTCTTGCACATACCATCTGCGATGCCGATCTGCACTGGAACAGCTGACAAAGCGTTGGAATTCTCCTTTTGCCGTCACATATTCCACTGCCGAAAAGTGGGTGTGATTACTTTAAAATGTATGACCAGGTGATCGGTCACGCTGAATGGTAGGTGAATGACCAATATTTGTGTTAATCATATCTTTGATGCAAGTGCTAATGGTATGAAACCACAGAAGGTGCTTTTAAAATGTTTGCTGTCTTGTCTCTATAGATAGTAGTACTGCATGAGCTTAAGCTGGTTTACATATAGAATCTAGATCTGCACTACCAGTATTACAATAAAGTGTGCTCTTAATAACCATATCCTGAAATCATCCAGTTTAGTAAACCCTCTTTTCTTCTGTTTAGAGCTCCAGTACTTGTCGCCCTTGCACTCATTGAATGTGGGATGAAATATGAAGATGCGGTTCAATTTATAAGACAGTAAGTTTGTGCTGCTCTGTTTATAAGCCAGTTCAAGCAGACGTGCAAGAAATAGTCCATCTGTGAATTTGATTTTGGATGTTACAATATTGAAAGTAATACTTTGTCTATTTTTACACTTTCGCATACATATTTGTAAATGTACCTGGTAATGGCCATCTGTCAGTAAGTACAGTAAAACATCCTTGCTAAATTGAGATAAAAACGGATTCCAGTTGGCATTGTTTGACAAAACCCTACCTTGGGCATTGGTTAACAGTCCCACTGTATCTGGTGTCTCAACTCGCTTTCTACTAACAGTTCTGGAGCTGCTTGAAGCTTGCAAAGTCTGTAGCATGAAATCATGTTGGACTCTGCTCTTAGCCTGTACTATCTTTTGGAGGAGTCCTTTGCGGTGTCAGGTGTGGCTGGGTTTAATAAACCAAGCCAGTAAATGTCTCCGGTTAAAGTGCAATGTTAATTTTGGGCAATTGCTTGTATGAAAATTTGGCAATAAATGTTGTGGTGATCTCACAAAAGTATGTGAAGCCATTGTTGTCAAAAATTTTATAGAGGCAGGCAAACAAGGGGAGCAAGATGACTAGAGCAGCGGTTCTCAACCTGGGGGTAGCGACTCCGTCTTGGGTCGAATGACTATTTGCCAGGGGTCGCCTAGCGGCTCCCGGCCACCCAGGAGAGAAGCGCTTTCTCTGCTTTTTTATTTTTTTTTTTTTTCTTCTGACATTGGGCCCGCCGTCAGTCAAAGAGAAACTTTCTCCCGGAAAGGTAACTCTGCTCGATGGAGCATAGTAAACCTTTCTCTGCTGTTTTTTTTGTTTTCTGACCGGGCCCGCAGTGCATAGCTAGATTCCTATTGGCTATTTCACTTTGCAATAGCCAATAGCAAACTAGCTATGGCACCCACCCACTGCTGCTGTCAATCAGCAGAGGGGTATCTGCAGTTCTCCCATCAGGTCCCCATCTAGTGATTGACAGTAGCTAGTTTGCTATTGCAAGTGAAATAGCCAATAGGAGTCTAGCCATGCATTCCTATGGCTTTTTTTTTTTTTTCCATGCTGACTGACTTGCGGCCCGATGCCAGAAAAAACAAAGGTTTACTCTGCTCCATCGAACAGTTGCCTTTCCGG